TTGTCACCTCAGTGGTGTGTTCTATGTAAAGCGGATGGGGAGACTGGTTTTCACCTACTGGTGTCTTGCCACTTTGCGAGGTTAATTTGGGATTGGGCTTCCTCCTTATTTGGACGCAGTTGGAATCCTCCATCAGACTTGCAGGGCCTTTTCTCCCCTACCTTTTTCAGGTGGTGGATAAAAAGGGGAAGGATAATGTGGAGAGGATTAAGGGCTGCATTATGTTGGACATTGTGGGAGGAAAGAAACTCCAGGATATTCTCAGAAACCCAAAGAGGAGCAGCAGATCTAAGGGCTATCATACATATTAGGGCGGTACAGTGGCTGAAATATTTGGAACTATTCATAGATTACATTGTGGATGACATGTTGAGGAAGTGGGGTGAAATTGCAAATTGTACACAGACCAAGTCAGTAATGAAAGTGATTTGGACTCCCCCACCTAGAGGATTCTTGAAATTAAACTTTGATGGATGTACTAGGGGAAATCCGGGGGGATTGGAGGTGTTTTTAGGGACGAAAATGGGGTCATCTCTACCATGTTCTCAGGCCCAATTGGAGTGGGTGACTCCCTTAGAGCTGAGATCCTTGCAGTTATGGTAGGAGTCCGGAAAGCTAAGGAGTTGAACATCAAGAAACTCATAATCAAAGGGGATTCAGAGGTGGTGATAGAATGGCTGACTAAAGATCAAAATGGTTTATGGAAGTATAACAATGAGAGGAGGAAATTCATGTGGCTGGTGCAGGAGATGGAAGTTAAGACATGTTGGGTTAAAAGATCGGCTAATTCCCTAGCTGACGGTTTAGCTAAACAAGGGGCAGAAAGGGATTCACTGTTTTAGGCTAAACTGTAACTTTAGTGTATTCTTTTTTCTTTCTTTTATGAGGCTCTTAGTGACTCTTGGAAGATAAGTGTGTTTGTCTTCCTCCTGTAAATTTTCTAATGATGATTTAATGAAAGTATTATTGATCAAAATAATAATAATAATTAGGTGGCTAAAAGGGAGAGACAACGGCTTATGGAGTAATAACAATGAGAAGAATAGATTTAAATGGCTGAGTAGGGATATGGTGGTTCATTACAGTTGGGTGAGGACTGCTAATTCCTTTGCTGATGGGTTAACAAAGCAAGAGGTGAATAGGGATTCGATTTTTTAGGCTGATTTTTTATTTTTTCCTTGTACTCTTTGATGGGGAGTTAAGTCTTTTTACCTCCCCTCTGTACCTAAGCTTCACAGTTTCATATCTTTAAAAAAATTTCTTGTTATTAATAAAAAAAAGAACAATTAATGTGGGCGTTCTTGGTTTTCACTAAACATTGCTTATAGGTTGCCCATGTTAAACCCACCATACAAAGCCATCCAAAACAGACAGCACCACTGTTCATTCAATAGATATGTAAACAAAACTGACATTTCACTTCTTGCATGCAAATACATTCCTCTCAGTTGAATATTACAAAAGGGATAAATTAAGGGTATTGGTATATTTGATCACGGAAGTTCCAAAATCAAAACTATTTTAAGCGATCGATTGGCCCTCGTCTATATTGAGCCCCTGGTTGCTTGTTCCGCTTCCGAAGGACTTCTGACTGAATATCGGGATCAATCTACTTTTCGACCTTGGAACCGATCCGTTAGTTGATTGACTTCCGCCATTCTTTTTGGCAAGTTCTTCAGATAGAGCACTCACAAGACTTTCAAAGCGTCGCCTGTAGGTTGGATACCTAGAGATTGATTTGGTAATCCCTTGGAGCCTTCTCATGAAAAGAATAAAATAAACATCAAAAAAGAATCTGAAATGTTACAAAGCTTTCTTGAAAAAAAGTCTATACTTACCTTCGGGCAAATGCACCAAGTTCAGCCTTTTTGAGCTCAGATTCAGGTGGCGTCCCCAGATTAGAACTCTTCAGTCTATCAGGATTTCCACCAAGTAGAACCAATTTGCAGAGGTAATTCTCTTCAGCTTCTGTAAGGTTCTTAGCTTTGATCTGATCTTTCAATATCAGTAAGGGGTTAAGGAACCAATCAAAGAAGACATCTTTTGGTCTATTTGTAGTAGTTATTTCAGTCTCGTTATTGCCTGTATTAAGTAAAATGGTCGTGTCAGAAATGATACCTTTTATGTATTTGTAGTCATTCAGAGAATAAGAGTATATTACAATGTTTTTTTTTTTTGGCTCGGCAGAATATATTACAATGTGAGGACTACTTTAATGCCATCTAAACAATATGACAATATACCGCCCCACAGACTAGAGAACCATACCTAATAGTAAATAGTATCCCAGATTTCATTAGTGTAACTGTGTAAGTATATTAGTTTTCCTAAATTTTTATATTAGATTCACTGAAAGAGCAAATCTGTTCAGGGTCACCATAGTTACATTCAACATCACCTTTTCTTTTCCTTTACAGGGCATTTGGAAGTCCCCTCCAATGAACTGCATTCATTTGATCTGTTCATTGTATTTGAGGCGACAAAAATTGATCCAAAATGGAGTCCCTTCAGGAATATCAACTAATATTAACATATGTAAGTTATTTCATCTAATATGAAATCCTTACAAATTCCTCTCAACCACTGTTATTTCACTACATTTTCCATCTTCATGCACCATGTACTCCCAACTTTCTTGTTATTATGCATCTTGCCTGCATTTCAATCTTTTTCTCACAAGACTCTGGCTCATCATGTGAATAATGAGTAAACGACCATGTAACATAAATATTTAGACCATCGTATACTTTCTTTGTTGTTTCCTACTTTCGTATATAATATTTGTCCCATTATAGATTAATCATGTGCAGAATCTCATTTCCAGCAATCATTTCCTTTTCCATGCATATTTCATTATTTCCCATGCCTACATATATTACTTCTTTACTTTATCAACTGAATTTTATCCTCCTTTTCTTTTCAGTAGTCATCACCCAGGTACATCAATGTCTAGTTTGAATCAACTACCCTGATTTTAAATTTTAAAATCAATTCTCATCACTGAAATAGGTCCACCAATAAGTCAAGTTCTAGAAGCCGCATACTTCTCTTGAAGACTTCCCAAGATGGTGGTTTGGCACAACCCTTAAAGATCTTTAAAATGAGTCTGAGGGCCTTAAATCTAGTTTTTATGAGAAATTCCTATAATTCCTTCACTATACAAAGTACCTAGGTCATTTATGTCAGAATGCACTTTTAGTTAAAAGGCAGGTTTTGCAAAACTCAAGGCTTTGTAATGCACCACATTTCTTTAATAAACTAAGATTTTCTATCCTCCCTATTCTGAACATTTTTTTTTTTCAGCTCAGGTACATAAAAATAGAAAAGAAGAGACTTCCACTTACTTAGCAATATACCGTCTGAGTTAGCCCTGGCAGAGCGTAAAAGTGCTTGAAGGATGCAATAAGCTGGAAGGCCAATGCTAATCACACTGCTCCTGCCCGTGCTAGATTTAGAGCCTTCTATATCTTCAGGCACTATCAGTCCTTCAACAACCAGAATCTCCCCATGTTGTGCACACTCCTTAAATAAGCCATCTAATAACTACATTTATACAGTTTTAGTTAATGTGTCACAATAAAATGGCATTTTCTGTATCTTGGAAAACTTCTAATACCAATCAATTTTTTTTTCTTTTTCTTTATCTTTTTCCTTTTATCGGTGGGTGGACTTGGAGTAGGTAGCATGATCATGGGCCAGGACCGCCAGGCAGGGCTTTGGGCCTATCTCATTAAAATATTATATTTAATATATATATTAAATACTTTATATTGTTAAAATACATGTTACAATTTATAATATTATACTAGATAAAATAAATATGTTGCAGGCCTGGCCAGGCTAGAAATGATCACCCCTAGAAGTAGCCCAGAACTGAGGGGGAAAAGGCTGCTGAGCTGCAGGTTCTGTATGGCAGCCATCAGAGTCATGCATGCCAGTCAGCAGCTTTTTCTCATGCATTACATTAGGAAGTAGCTTATCTGCAGCAATTATCTTAGTTCCTCCCACTAGGGATGTCAATTGGATGCGTTAAGTGGAAAAACCCACACCTTGATGGCTTAAGGTTGAAGCCAACCCACACGAAACTTAATCTGTTGACATAATAGCATTGAAACATTTGTAAATATAGCCTTCACTGAGTACAATGGTACTACTTGTGGGATGGGGCAGGTTGGGTTCGGTATCCTATTTTATTGTGTTAGGTTCATGTTCAGGTTGGGCAGGAACAATGCTGGACCCAAACTGTTGAAATCCCTATTCTCCATTACCCAAAAAAAAAAAGAACCACTATTCCCATCACATGAAACAAGTAACTTGTATAAGATAAACTAAATACAACTGAATTGTGAACCAAGTGAATCAGATGAGCTAATCTATCATGCATCTAAAAACAATATACCTCAACTGGCTTCAACTCATTAATTGCATACTTGAGAGAAACTGAGCGGGAGGGAGGATTGCGGAAAGAATTAGGCCTTGAGAAAGAAGTGGCTCGAGAGCTGGTACGTGACAAGGTCCCTTCCCTGCGGTACCTAAGTCTGATAATTTGGGAAGTATATCATCAAATTAAGCATGTCCAACATAATTGACAAGTAATGATGCTAAGTATTGAAGTGAAACACCAACAGCACCTAGGAAAGCAGGAGCACTCAGGCATGTCAAGCACATCATTGCTGTACTCATCAAAAATGGACAAGGAAGAGATGATATAGCAAAGGCCCAACTGAATGGATGACTCCTGTAATAAAAAAAACCACAAAATCAAATTCTAGAGTAGTTTGCAGTCAATTCCAAAGTTAAGGTGAACACCAAATGAAAACAAACAAAGATTATCACAAATGCAGGAATAGTCAGTTGAAAGTATTTATAATGTGATTTTAGGGATTCAGTAGGAACTATCAAAAGTTCATAATTTTTAAATAGACCACATGGGGTTTTAAAACTTCAATCCTGCAGAAGAGTTCTGAATAAGCCACCTAAAGCTGCTTTTACCTTAGCCAACAAAACAGCTCAATTTTGCTGATATGGGTAAGTGCATAGATAAATCAAATGCCCCAGATTGGGTTTCTCACCAATTCTAGGCCAGAATACTACTAGTCCTTATGGACCACAAATGCCAAATGCAGTCCCAGTCTTTTCTTGATGCCCAAGTTTCACTTGTCAAGATATGCCTAAATGCATTTAGTAACCTCAGATAGTTTTTAACTAAATACCCCACAAGCCCAGATCACATGATCAGAATGTAATTTGAGAGAGTTTTGCCCAAAATACAACCAGCCAACAAGTTTATCAGGGGAACTCTAAAGCTTTTGTTTATTTGAGTTTCAAATTCAGAATCTTGTATGATTTAGGATTTATTTATGTTCTTATTATCTTTTACTTTTTTTTTCTTTGCTTTGTTTGTTAGATCTTGGACTGCAATATTTAATATACTTTAGGTTCAGTTTGGAAGGAGTACAACTGCAAATATGAAGAGTGCAAAACTTTGTATTTTTTATTATTTTGTATCTATTTGTACTATACATATTTCTATTTGTACTCTTTCTAAACTGAGCCTTAGTGAGAAATTGTTTACCGAAGTGTTCACCCAAAGAATGGTATGGTACTGGCCTTCTTGAAGGTATGTTTCTAATTTTGACAAGAGAAGTATGATCCTTGGACCAGTTCTTTCTACACTATATCCTATTATTAACCTTTAATAGCAGTCAAGATCCCCAACATTTTATTGTTGATCGGTGTTCTTGGGCCAAATATAATTTTTCAGTGTCAATTGAAATTCAATCTAAATATTTCTGGAATACCTGGATAATCTTCCACAATATCTAAATAATTTCCATGCACCACTCAACCTGAAAACCATAAGTTATAGGTATTTCTTTTGATTTTTTTCTTCTAGTATTACTGTTTTTTATCAGCAGATTCACTAACAGAGTTTATTAATGAAATTTAAAGAAACCTCAACATACCAACATAACTGGCATGGAAGGAGATCAAGGAACACACTCAAAATAACAGCCTAGACTGTTTTGTAGTTGAAAAATCATCTAAAACAATCATATGAAATACAAATTCTGATGTTCCCCTGAACCAGCTTGATACTAGTCCTAATGGTGTAGTTACCCAAGACTGAAGATCCCTATTTCTGTTAGATCCTCAGCACAAGGATACTTAGCCCAAACAAACCCTTAATGCCCAAATGCCCATGGATATAAAATTCCTCTATTTTTTTGTTAATTCTTAATAACTTCAGGGCCACAATTATAGGATGCCTACCCTGTCCTACATCAATTTACCATTGCATTCTAGAGTAACTTACTAAACAGAAATTATAAATAAACAAAGCAAGGCCACTTAAGTATTGGACATTACAAATATATCTCAGAATTGGTTAGTCCTTAAGAAATTTATCAGGAAATAACTAATTGGACATTTTTATCTAACCTGGTAAACAATAACAGCTGCATATGCACCTAGAAAGATACTTGATACCATCGACCCTAAAACAGCGCCAATAACTGCCAATGGCCACAGTAAGATTGCAAGTCCAGCAAAAGGTACACATATAGTCTCCAAGAATGGGCCTTCACGACCTATAAGATCATGAAACAATCGATGCCATCCTTTGAAAAGCATGTAAGGGCTCTTGTATAGGGCAATAAGTGTGACCACTGGTAGGTCGACCATAAAACCAAAAATTCCAGCTAAAAGAGCACCTGGAAGAAGAAGCAATCTGCAAAATGGTAAAAGGCATATTCCGGTAAGATAAACATCATATAAGAAAAATAGATCATGATATGACTGTCTGTTTTCTCATTGTATAGTTCCTCGCTGTACATGTGCTACACTTATACATGTTTTGCAATACTTATAAACCATGGAAAAACTCAAACACGTATTTGGCATGCTAGTAGATCACATGGACGGGATCAATAAACAAATTAGAGTTAACATGATACAGGAACATAGAATCAGATAAAACAGATGGGCCCAATCCCTTGCATGTGTAGCAAATTATCCACAAGTTTGTGGAGGATGGTGTCTTTCCATCCTCCTCTCAGCACCTGGAGGGTGTCTTCTGAATGCCCCATCTACATCATAATACTTGTGTAATGGGCTCCATGTTACATGGATACATGTACAAGTGTCAGAATCTAGCATGGATAAAAGATGTCAGATTCTAAGAGCCAGGAAAAAAATATGATTCAGGTACTTAATGATTATATTTAATGATAGTGTTTGCTTTTCATACTATATTTTTATTTTATATAAATAATGGGGGAATTGGTTGTTCAATTTAGAAGCATTAATCAATAAAAACCATACACAATTAAAACAATTTATAACTAAAAATACTGAATTATCAAGTAATCCTACTTCATAATTCATTCTCAAAGTTTAGCCTAGGAGTTAGAGGTTTTTTAGTTGCATACCATAGTCTGTTAAAAGAGAAGACTCATTTAAGTATTTTGTCAATGATTCAGTGTGCATATGTCTCACCATGCAATTCATCCGTGGTCTTAGAGAGCCCATGAAAAAAGGATGGACCTAAAAGGATGATATGGAGTGCCCTTAATTCTTTTTTATCAGGAGTGTCGTCAATCTGCCCAATTGAGCTAAGTAATGAACTGCCAAAAAGGACCTTTCTTGAGAGTTACACTCCATATTCTATCTTTTTATAGACTCCTAGATTTGGACATGGTGACAGATGGTAAAATAGGTGCAAATAACTTATAAATGTGTAAAAAGTAGTACATGTTGTGTGTGTGTGTGCGTGCAAATGTGCAAGAGAAAGAGAGCGGGGCGGGAGTGCCTATGTTTGTGATGTACTTTAACTTGATTTCCAGCTGAAATGAGTTTTATATATGTACAGTTAAATGCTTCTTTATTTTACTTTTTTTTGAAAAGCAGAGTTACTGTTAAATGCTAGATTCATTTTGCAAACTCCAATTTTTTCATCATACAGATTGAATTTTATATGATCAGCTACATGAAATAGAATAAAGGAAAGTTTCAAGAAATAAAAACACAAGACCTGATCTCATGAGGTTTCCCATCTGGAGGTTCTTGAAGGCAGAGGTCATCTGTAACTGAGAAGTAGGAGTGGAAACAAACATCGGTAAAATCCCTAACCACAGTAAAGCTCCCTTTTATAGTGCTCCATGTTCCATCCTATAAATGTAATAAAATAAGAAGTTTCTATAAGGGAATGAAACTAAAAAAGTAAGCAATGATTACTCAACACAACTAATCTTCTCAACATACAACTATACAGTGGACAAACTCATCTGTTTTCCCTTCTCCAACAGCTTCAAACGTAGCAGTCAGTGGTCCTAGAAAACCATAGCCTGCACCTGCTAGGATACTCCCCAAAATGCCAACTAATGGCCACAAAATTAAGAGAACAGAAACACATGCACAAAGGATGAGCTTCAAAACTGGGCCTAGTTTTTTGGATCTGCCTTAAGGAGAACACAGTGAATCAGTTATAGTGAGAAAGAATGCAACTACAACATAGAAAAGGCAAACAGGCAAATCATTGTCATCATTATCTAAGCCTTGTTCCAACTATATGGGGTTGGCTACATGAATCCTGATTCGCCATTCTGTTCTGTTCAGTGTCATATCAATTGGTAAATTATGGGCTCATGAACAGGCAAATAAAGGTGATAAAAAAATTAGGAGGTCAACTGAAGTACCTTGCAATGCTGTAATATGTCCAGATACTGTGCACTGGCCAAAGGCCCAAAATGACTGCGGAATTCCCAATTGTAATGATAAGGCAAATCAGGGGGCAGAAAATGGCACCTGTGGAAAAATATTAGTAAGGTAAAACAAATTTGCTTTGCTATCATGTATTACCACCGTTCAAAGTCCATCAGTTAATCAAGAGTCCAATTCATCAATTAACCAAAATTTCAAGGACAAAAATTCACTATATTCTTTTTCTTCCTTCCTCTATTGACAAATTAAGCCTTTGGCAGAACCAGTATTCACCTTATTTCTAAATTATAAGAAAAGATTCAAAACAGTCCAGTCATAAATCTGCAGTTCTGCACGTATTCTTAGATACACGACAACTATAAAACCAAGTCCCTCATACTTCGAAAGTTGGAATAGATAATACAGGACTAGCAAAATTATAATCAACAAGGCAGAAGTCTAAGGTGAAGCAAAGTATCTAAGGATTAGAGAAAAGGATATAATAACTAAGAGTCCAATGTCAAAAAGCTATATTCCGTTTTCGTATAATGTGGCAAGAGATGAATTTCAGTTTTAAGAGAAACAGAATGAAAGGTGAAAACGAAATGAATTTCAGCTTTAGAGAATAAGGATATAATAACTAAGACTCCGATGTCAAAAGGCTATATTCCGTTTTCGTATAATGTGACAAGAAATGAATTTCAGTTTTAAGAGAAACAGAATGAAAGGAGAAAACGAGATGGAAAAACACAGTTTCTATCACGAGAAGAAAACTGCTACTCTTCTCTGAAATCTTTGAAAATATAAACAAGTTTGAAGTAAGAAAGAGGGAAAATAAGATAGAAAATATTTAAAAACCAAGAGCTCAACTAGCTTTCTAGCTTCACACATTCAAGTAAAATATTGAAAGTTTCTCCAGAGATTGCATTTTCTTCAAATACAACATGGAATATAAATAAGAAGAAGATGAAGGAGAAAAAGTGTCGAATAAGGAGAAAAAAATGTCGAATCATTTCCAGCAGGAAAACAAATTGTTATGTTCCTCCAAAACCCTTTTAATGTAAAAGCAAAATTTACGTACCCAAGATCTGAAAAGTAAAAGAAATAATTGCAGGCAATAAAAAAAGAAATGGAGGAAAAACTAATTACGAAAAAAAACTGTGAAAAAACAGTGAATAGATGATGAGAAGAGACTAACCTTTAATGATGCCAAGGAGAAGAAGGCCAACGAAGAAGGGCAAAAAGTGGAGAAATCTCCATAAGGAAGCCCAAAACCCCTTAGGAGGCTCCATCTCACCTCGCCTAGATTTCAAATGTCACTTCAAATACATCTCCGGATCAGCTCATGTTCTGACACAAAACACAGAGACTTCCAACTTTAACGAAGAACACGTGACACCTCGGAACATTCCCTAAACCCAACATCGACAACTTGGCAAAAATCTCTGTTTTGCAGTCTCAGTCATTCTTCTGAGATCGAAGACGCCAGAAAAGTAAAAGGAAGTGAATAAAGAAAAAAGATGAAAACCCACTAAAATTGTTTAGAATTGAGTGATAGACGGTTAGTTAACCGTCGTAGAGGTGATAAGGATTACAGATTATATGAACCGCTTGAAAGGAAAAAGAGAAACCCAGAGAGGAGTCGGGCTGACAAAACATAAAATTGATGGTTACTGGGTTCTTAGCTTACAATCAAACCCAAAATTAAAATAATTAAAAGAGTAACGTATAAAAGGTGGATAAGCCACCAACCGAAACTGTGACTGAAAGCAAGTATATAGATGGATAAGCCGGCAAGCCGCGACGCCACACACTGTGAAAGCATAAGAGTCCAGCCGTACATGGAACCATGTATTTAGCTTTAGCATACATAAAGAGTAAAGATGTTTCCGATGTGCATTCCATTGAGCAGAGTTTTTGGTCAAATCCCACTATAACCAATATAACCCAGAGTTGGGGGGTTGTGGGTTTGGGGGACGGGCTAGCCCCCCGTTGTCAAGATCCATGAAGTATAAAACAAGATTCAAATCTCGATATGTCGGGCATATCGTATCGTGCCGGCTGGTTGATGTTATTGGCTCAAGAAAAGGCTTCTACAAAAAAAGTTAAACAAGAAAATTATCGGCCCTATGTAAAAATATGGAAGTAAAAAAAAAGAAAAAAACTAGCTTTTGTTCACCTGAAATACCCTATTTGCATGTTCGTGCATCAGATATATCAATACTTTGAATGTCACACAAAATTGAACAGAAGAGAAAAGGTTACACTGTTATTGAACAACAATTACAGAAGATTGAGATCGAAGAGCAATGCTTGAATAGATTAGGGTTCTTCATTTTCAGGAGACAGGAGGGGTCATTCCAACAAATCCCTTTAGAACTCTGCATGCACTATCCTGTATTTTATTTTCTGATTAAAAAATTTGCCCATGAACTTTTTGATAGGCAAATGGGCTATACAACAAGAGCAATTAACGTCCCTCTCACAAACTCCTAATCCTAGTTCCTACACCCTCCAACTCTGATGAGTGATGAAGGCGGAACTTCATCCCAAGTCTGAGATTTTACTAACAAAATAGCTGCAGGCACCTTATCAATTTGCCGGACCGTCTATATGAAGGATGGCATTATACCGTTGAACTAAATCAGCTGAAACGTTACGAAAAATCATTTCTTTCAAATAATCATAAGCTTCAAAGAATGTGATTTAAGCAGCAAAAAGCCATTGTCAGTCGTTCTGCCTCAACCGAAGCTTTCAGCCATGGAGAGCATCCCGGGGAATTTTGGGCTATATCCAACAAGGATTCATGGGATTGGCTGTAGGGGTGGTAGTTGTTGGGTGGGTGTCATTTGATACCCCTCCGTAGACCTGTTCATGGGCCGGGTAGCCCGACAGCCCGGCCCGGCCCCGTGACGGGCTTGAACACACATTTGAGCCCGCCGGCTTGACCTCGGGCCTAAAAGCCCAAGCCCGACTATGTTACGGGCCGGGCTTGGGATTTGTTAAAAAAGCCCGGCCCGACCTATAGGTTAAATAAAAAAACCCTAATATCCTAACCCCTCTTTCATTCATTTCTTTCTTGTCTATACCATTTAGCCGAACCTCTTCTCAGTTTTCACAGTCACTCACAACCTCATGAGTCCTCTCTCTCTCTCTCGTTCCTCTTCTCACTTCTTCTCTCTGAAAATCTCATACATGAATTCAGGCACCGGCGAGGCGACGGTGAGTCCTCTCTCTCTCTCTCTTAGACATGAACTCAGCACCAGCGAACACAAACCGGCGGTGAATCCTTTCTTCTGTTAAACCGGACTTTGGGCTTTTTATTAGGGCCGGATTCGAATCCATGTTGTAGGCCCATTGACCGGGCTGGACTTGAGTTCAGGCCTAATAAAATCCTGTTTATGAAGAGTAAAAGTCCAGCCCGGCCCAACCCCATGAACAGGTCTACCCCTCTGGCATCTCCACATTCTGAGAGGAAGAGAAAAAGAGCCCAACCCACACACCTAAATCCACCAACTAAAAGTAAGTAGATGGTGGGTTGGGTCAGAAATTGGACCCCTCTGACATATGTATAATATTCTAAGCTGATATCTTAAAAGCAGGAAGCTTCTCTACAAAGAATATTATTCCTGCAGACCTATTTACACCATTCATCATCAAATAGAAGACCATTAGATTGGATACATATTCATTATTCAATACCAAAGGTCGTATTAGCCATATGACCCACCTTTTTTTTTTAAACTATTGGCCATACTCCTACGCACATATTCAGTGGGTGTTTGTAACTATGGGTGTTGATTCAATAAATGCTGTCACATAGGCATTACTTCATTAATTCCCTTTTCATGCTCTTTCTTATGTATTGAGAACGATAAAAGGTGATTTCAATTTCTGTGCACACTTACCATTTGGGGAAATTATTTTTTAAAGTTTTTTCCAACGGTCAGGCATTTTTTCACTATTATGTTGATGTGGAGCCTAGTGGCGTCTAATGGAACTTAGTTATCATAAACAGTTATAATTATTACTTTTTTCAGTTTTACAAGCAAATAAAATACAAACGTTGAATAAACAACATAAACAGAACCAAACACATATTCAATCTACTTGTTAGGCATTTTTTCACTATTATGCTGATGTGGTGCCTAGTGGCGCCTAATGGAACTTAGTTATCATAAACAGTTATAATTATTACTTTTCTCAGTTTTACAAGCAAATAAAATACAAACGTTGAATAAACAACATAAACAGAACCAAACACATATTCAATCTACTTGTTATATTGGCCGAAATCAATAGCCACGAAGTAACATCATTAATTAATTATAAACCCATCAAATACTTTTATATTGTTTACTCAATTCTGTGTAAATATGTCTAAAAAAATAAAATAAAATACTCGGAATGACACTGGTTGGTTGGTTATCAGTTATCCGTTTTTTAAGCACCATACCTTTTCAATATCATAGTCAAATTGCTCTTGAATGGGAAAAGTACAAATACAAATATATATATACAAGGTTTTTACATTCTATATATTTACATTTGTACTCTTCCCAAATTAAACTGCACAATAGGCTCAATTTGGAAAAAGTAGTACAAATGTAAATATGTATAATATAAATATATACAATATATAAGACTTTGCACTCTACATATTTGTATTTATACTCCATCCAAATTAAGCCTTAAGCTCTATTTGATAAGAGTACAAATATAAATATATTCATTCAATACAAAACAAATACAAAGGGAGCTTATATGCATATTTATATTTGCAATATTCCAAATGAGGCCTTAATGAAATAATACATTATTACATGTGCACTTTATTTCGCATCTGTCTCCTCTTTAGATTCCATTCCATGCACTTTATGCTTCTATTAAAAATTTTATAGGAGATGATTAAGAGTTAGTATATAATAAAAGGTTATGGAGCCCAGCCCTCCACTGTGCAAAGGCATATATACATCTACACCTTGTGGCTGACGATGGCCTGCTCCTCGTGGCTGACGATAGCTGACGATGGCCTGCTAATCAGAAATCACCACAGGTGTGAAAACTTTGCGGGGTCATTGGAATGTGGTGGGCCATTCCATTGCGATTCCATGGAAGAAAGTGTTCTATCGTGCATTGACAAGAAAATCACAGGCTGATAAGCATGAGATGGTGAGTTCTGATTGGCAGCTGAACTTGATTACTGTATAATCAATAATGGGGACTGGATCTGCTATTCACACAGGGTGTCTTATACTAACCTCACATGCACATCCTACTATGCATTGGGAATATTTCTTGTACTTGTAATAAGTTATTATTTATGGGAGATGTTCACAATGCACCGTGGATGTGCCTGTGAGGCACCCATTTATGAGGAGCAGATCCCGTTCCTCAATAATGAAACCCTCATCAGCCACAAGGTGTATATGCCCCACAACCACTCAATCTCTCTCTTCCCATGGATAACTGACGTGGATGTTATGATTGCTTATACAGCTCCTCAAACCATTATCAAGTTTGAGCTAATCCAAACTCTAGAGATTTTTTCACTTTCATGTCATCACTTTAAGGCCAGGCCATGTTTGGGAGTGCTTAAAAATAAGTATTTATTCGAAATAAATATTTATTTGGGCCATTAAAAATTTATTGGTATTCGGGAAATAAAACCAAAATAAGTGCTTATTTTAAAAATAAGGACTTATTTTTTAAGCTCAAATTTTCAGATTTTTTCAAGTGTTTATACAATAAATACTTATTCAATTTTTTCATCTAAAATTGTCCCTAGTTGAATTTTATAAAAATACTTTCGTAAAAGTGCTTTTATTAAAGTGTCTTCGTAAAAATACTTTTATAAAAGTACTTTCGTAAAAGAAATAAACCCAAGATAAGTGCCTGTTTTAAAAATAAGAGCTTATTTTTTAAGCCCAAATTTCCAGGTTTTTTTATCTGCTTATACAATAAGCACTTATTCATTTTTTTCTACCAAAATTATCCCTAGTTGAATTTTATAAAAGTACTTTCGTAAAAGTGCTTTTATTAAAATGCCTTTATAAAAGTACTTAAGTATTTTCATGAAAGTACTTTTTCCTAAAATTACTTTCATAAAAGTACTTTTATAAAAATTCTTTCGTAAAAGTGCTTTCATAAAATTATTTTCATAAAAGTGTTTTTATAAAAGTAATTTAATAAAAGTACTTTCATAAGGGTATATTTTGAAAATTTAAAAGAAAATGAAGGATAAAATAGTCACAAATGCTTATTTAAGTGCTTATAGGAGAAAAAGACTATCAAACATGAAATAAATGCTTATTAGAGAAAAATAAGCACTTTAAAAAGTTGGGTGCCAAATGCAAATAAGTGTTTATTCGAATAAGCACTTATTTTTAACTTAAGCACTCCCAAACATGGCCTAAGAAAGCATATACATATACCCCACAAAATGTTTATACAATCATCACTTTCAAATCAAAATTCCAATAATAGAGACTCCACAGATAACAAAAAAGTTGTGCTTAATAACTTAATACATATGAACAAAAGTCATTTATGTTCTTCTGAAAAGTCTTGGATCAAAGCTTAGTTTATCTTCAACGTACTCCAAATCATAGAGACTCCAACTGTAGAATCTCTCTTCCCCTAAATTTCCCATCTATGAACTTAATTCCTTGAGAAAATCTTCAATACTACCTTCCTCTTCAACAACTTCTTGATAAACCAGCTCAAGACTTAAAAACCAAGACCCAAGAAAATTAGTATTAATGGAGAGCATGACTCCATGACTACGTAGGAATGTAGGTAGGGAAAATTGTAGCTACTGATTAAGAGATGAAGTGAAAAGGGAGACCGAAAGTTTATTGTGTAACTACAACGGAGAAGTGTATACAGTTGCAAGCCAACTA